CACACACACACACACACACACAGCAGCTCCTAAGTAACTGTCTACCTTTCTTGTTGGAGCACAAACAAAACAAACAATAGGAAGGAATTACAAAGTGACACTTATAGACAGTCGTGAAATGTCTATTATTTTTGTGTTTGCATGATTTTACTTATCTGTAGTTTATGTGAGTTGGAGCAGATTCTCTATTAGTTTTATATTTAATTTTTGTAGCCCTGTGCATAAGTTAATTTTTATTTTCTACTTTATTCCATCTCCCAGGAGGGACAAAAGAGGATACAGTGAACAGTTGATTACACATTGTCACTCTCTACGTATTTGCCTTGATGTGCGCTCTTATGTGTGCTCTTAATTGATTGACCCCTTGCTATGGATCGCCTAGTGGTCGGCAGCAGTCGATACTGCCAGGTCTTAGTATTCCTAGGTGAAAGGGGGAGAAGGAGAATGGGAGGGTGGGGGGACAGAAAGAGGGAGAGAGAGACGGAACATATTGATCAGGTGACGTGTGCATCGAATTCCAAGTTTACCTGACCTTCCAAACTGCTGCCATCATCACCGCTGTACCTCCCTGATGTCTCCTTCCTCTCGCTTTCTTCTGCTGCCTTCCTCACTGCACTGTTCTTTTGTCTCAGTCGTGTGTGTGTGCGTGTTTGTGTGTGTGTGTGTGCTTGAGCTGCAGATAAAGCCTAAATTGAGCTGTTTTGATTGTTCACTGAGAGTGCCCGCAGCACAAGGCCCCTTGGCGGAGGAGCACACACACACACAGTCAACCCTGTGTACGTCTCCCCTGCTATTTTTATTAAGTGGTGTTGGCAACAGCAGTGCAAATTCTTTTAATTACTCGTCAGAATAACTTTCTGTCTCTGTAATCATGAGGCTATTTGTTGACACCGAACTCTGAAACAAGCGTCATCCGTATCGTAATGCCTCTCTAGCTCTAATCTGGGTTTACACACATCTTGTTTTTTGGGGCTGGAGTAGCTTTAGGCCTTCCTACAAGGAGTTTTGTTTGTGGAGGAGGACTTGGACAAGAACTAGTTTTTAGAAACTAGTATTCACAGCTAGGAAATTCTCATGCATTAATATAAATGGATTATTATAAGAAATTGGTCTCGAGATAAATGCTCACATAGATGTACAGTGGAAAAACTCATATAAGATCACAAAATGCATGGAACCATGCGAGGGTGCAAGATGGCCAGAAAAATAGACCTAAGAGGGCTTAACACACTTTTACACTTTAATCCAATGGAAGTATTTAACGATACAGACAAGTTTTGGTCTTATTTTTCCTATTAAAATGTCTATTAACTGACTGCATGGCTTTATCATTTAATACTCTAATTGGAGTGAGCAAAGTCTTCTGGTCTCCATAGTTTTTAAATATGATGAAATATAAGCAGTTTCATCCCACTCGGTCGAGGTCTGCCGTGGGAATCCCTCTGCTCGTATTCCAGAGTTAAAGAGATGCATTGGCATGTCTGCCTTCACTGGGATTTAAGAGGAGAAGTACATATTTGTTGATTTGAAAAGGGAATGAACCTGAACCGGAGTCCAACGATACCATACAATTATGCAAATGCTCTCTTAAAAAACAAACTGCATGCAAAACAATTTGGCTTTAGGAGAGTGAGAGGTGTGTATGTACTCATGGATGTTGGCGCATGGAAACAAGCTGCACTGGACATTGTTTTGTGGCTGTACACACACACACACACACGCTGACACACACTCCAGGGATGATGTCTGGCGAGGTGGATAAAGTAGTGCTATTGTAATTCGATAGATGGCTTTCCCTAAGATAATCTGCCTTAAACAGATGATCATTTTGGGAGTAGATTTGATTGATGTGGGACATGCAGAGAAAGAACAAGAGCGAGAGGGAGAGGTAGAGAGGGACTGTTTGTATTTTTACATCTGTGTGTGTACGTGTGTGTGCGAGAGTGAGACAGAGAGAGAGAGAAAATTAAAAGGGTACGTATGGTGATGAACGCCCTTTTCTGCCAGCTGGACTCTAAATGATGCTCAGACTGGGACGACTGTGTCTCTGTGTTACTCTGGCTCTCTTCATGTTGTCATTGTTCATTTGACCAATCACACGTCTCTGCCTCCTGTGTTTCATGCCCTTTTTAATTTTCTGGAATTTGTGATGATG